CTTCAATTGCTTAGTGGACTAGGCAGCACAAAGCTAAGTGACACCAACTAAGAAGATCAAAACCTAGTGCTCCCCAAGTTTTACCCCAATGTGGACTTCATTTGGAGGCTTGAAGACTATAGTGGCTACCCACTGAGTGGTGAGTGAGGAGCAGCAGAATGGGGCTGAGCTCTGACCCTAGGGCAGGGAAAGGTAAAACAGTCTGGAACTGTTCTGGCTGGAGGTGGTGTGTGTGTGAATGGACACTGGAGAAGCACAGCACTGGGCTGCGTACTGACGTACCTCATGGTACCTGTTGTCACAGATTACGCATGATAAAGGGCTGCTTCAGGTCATACACAGGTTATTGATACCAACTGAATGGTTAAAAAACAGGAGGTGCTCTATACAAGGAGCTGAATGGAATGAGCTAGTAAAACGAGAGGGTTGGGAAAGGTTATAGAGATTGCACAAGATTCCCCACTAACCAAATCACTCTACACTGAGGAAGAAAGGACCAATTTTTACTCAAGTAGACTCTGGTTGCACATGGTAATGATTACTTCTGGAGCCTGGAGTCTACACAAACTGCCTGATGTGGAATTTGAACAAAAAGTCTGTGTTCCCAGACTATTTAATTTTGTTTAAATATAAATTGGATTTTGTTCCTTATTTCTGAGCTCCCACCACAACTAAGGGATCTTTAAACCCCTTTGGTGGGAAGCACACAATGATTTTAGCTTCTCTCGTTGCTTTCCCTCCCGCTAACAAGGGTTACCAGTCAGAAATCTCCAGGATAAATGTATCATATCTGTGCAATGAGAGACTGGTGGAGGAGATTGCGGTAACACCTAATTCGATGGGCGGATTTCATATTTCACTTTCCCCGCCCCTCTTCTGTGCTGATCTCAGCTGAGTTGAGCTGTTGGCTTAAGGAATGAAAGCTACCTCCGAGTAAAAGTTGACTGACAAATTCCAGAAGTGGTAGCGAGGCAGGCTATGAAATTCTGCTGACTGATGCACGGAGGGGTTTCTCACCCGCGCGTGTCCTAAAGTACGGATGCAGCGTATCTTTCTCAGAGGATAAAGCAGCAGTAGGCCAATCAGCCCATCGAGGGTACCTGGTGCTGAGCTCAGAAATTCAGGAGCCCCTCACCTTTGACCACACTCATCTGGCTCAGGATTGAGTGAGAATGAGAGAGGCTGGGTTCAACAAAGAGGAGCGGTCATCATTTTCTTTTTCTTAAATTTATTCTTTCATGGGACTGTTTGCTCATCCCTAACCAAGACCTAGAGTGTTTGTATGGGACCAAAATTCAATTGAACAAAATGACCTTTTGAGGACTCCCCCATTTCTCAAACTATTAGCAATTTGATCAGAAAAATACAGGGTATAATTTCTAAACTAATATAACAGAGGTAGACTGCTGGTCCATGGTCACAATGACAGGACTTCCTTAAAGCGCAGGTCCCCAACCATGTCCAATACTCACTGATCCCCCCCACAACTCAAGTGAATCTCTGAGTACTTCATGGTCATTCTGCATTTATGATTCGATGCAATACCTTCTTGTCCTTGCACCTTGGCGAATTTTACCCCAAATTTTCTTCGAGTGGGCTCTATTTGAATGCCAAGGTCATATGCCTCCTGCCCGTCTGGTCTGACTTCCCCATGCCAGTTTTTAAAAATTGTTATTTTTAGTCCTTCACCCACCGTGTCACAAGTGAGAGTATGACTAGCTGCTTTGAGAGACAGAAGCAATTCATTCGTCTGTAGAATAACATCACATATTATGCGTCACTTGTACATCAGCTACAATAATGGGGGATATCAGGTTTAAACACGGCCTGCATTCAACAAAGAGAAGACCTACTGTGATGGAAGGAATTGGAACCAGACTGCAAGAATAAAAAAAGTACATGAGGAAGCCTCTGGAAATGGAAGTTGCAAAGCGAAGAAGCAGAGGGGAAAAGTGTTCAGTTAATAAAGCACAGGAAGTGAGTCAGCTTGCAATTTCACTGCACACTGCCACAAAGCCAAAATAAAAAAAAGAAGTCACCCCAAAATTAGCCAGACAGAAGCTGAGGCCTGAACCTCGAGTATAGCACAGTTCTGATAACACCGTGGGAAGTTCAATAAAAAGGTGATATGCAAATCCAGCCCTGCTCGGGCTGTAGTCTGTGACGCTGTCTTTCAGTTAGACACACAGGCTCTTCAAAGTGAATTTGTCTGTCACCAGTTCATTGAATGCGATCACAAAATTTCCTTTACACTTCTCAGTAAGCAGTGTGTATTGGTTCAGCTCAGTACCACAGGTTAGTGTTTAACTTTTAGTGCCAAGTCTCCCTGTTTGTGCTGAGGGTTTTCATGAACTCTGCCTGAATGGGAAGCTGCAATAAAGTGACAATACACTTTTCCAAATGCCCTGAACTTTCATCTTTCTGAGAGACAGCGGGTTCCTCGCCAATGCTCATGTGTATTTGTTTAGAACACAGGGTCACAGTAACATTTAATTTGTGACAGTTAACATGCCACTCAAAAATGTTTACACATACTTCTGATCTCTCTTCAAAATAACTTCTGGCAAGCTCTCAAGGTGGATTGATTTTAATTGAGACTGTCCTTTTGGACGTTACAGTTGGGCCAGGGATGATCTTGTTATGGCCATTATATCAAGTTGCAGCACAGAACCAGGCCATTCAACCCAAGTGGTTTATATTGTACACAAGCCTGCTTTTGCCCTACTTCTGTAGTATTTTCCCAGGTGACCACTGCTGAGAGTTGCCACCTTTACCAGTAGGTGATATTGGGTAAGGGCTGTTTTTAAGATAGTTCACTGCCTTCAATTCTCCTTTCGTCTTTGCTTTGTCTTGGGCTTATCTGGTGATTAGTGGTAGAGGATTCACCAGCGCAGAATATCTACAGAAGAGGCACACTGTTCTTGTATAACCTGGAGGCTTATTGTACGACAGAAATGAGCACAACTACATTTGGTCAGGTATAATGTCTAGGACCTTAAGCAGCGTAACTAATTCATTTGTTCCCTCTAAAAGCTGGAGTAGGACTTCCTGTTTCACCGAGTGTGGATGACATTAAGTGAGTGGGTGGAGCCAGCACAACACTAACCCTTTCAGAACCATGACTATGTGACTGATTTTACTTTCTGCACATCTTACTCCTATCTCAGTCGCCTGCATTTCTAGCTTTCCCTTAAACCTATATACGCTGCTCAACACAATTACTTCTTGCAGCGAGGAGTTTATAACCATGCCCCTTTCTGTGTTATGGAGATAGCAAGAACTGCAGATGCTGGAGTCAGGCCGACCCGAAACGTTGACTTTCCTGCTCCTCTAATGCTGCCTGACCTGTTGTGTTCCCCCTCCTCCACACTATGCTGAATCCTTTCTGTCTTCTATTTGTTAGCTCAGTTTCAGCCTCTTCATCTTCCACTATAAGGGGGGAATGGCTTCCCTACATCCAGGTTACCAAACCCCGAGACTTTTCAAGATCTTTATTAGGTCAACCCTCAGCTGCCCCTTTTCAAGAGTTGCAACCTGGGATCAATCCCATCTGGAATCATTCTTTTCTTCACTCTCTATATTCCCTGGGAACAGGAAGAAAGGTGATGCTGTTAATCTCAAACCCAACAGTAAGTTGCAGCAAGCACACGCTCACAGCTTCCTTTTTCATGAACCAATGTGCAAGGCTCTGCTCCAAGCAGACTTGGATAAATCAGCCCTTGCACTTTGTAAAAAGGATGGCTTTTGTTAACTAGGGGGTTAGCAGCAATGAACCTTTGACCTGGTTCAACCTTGCAGTGGTGCTGAGGGGTGAGAATTGGAGGATGGAGGGTCTTACTGACTGTCTTCAGAATGTTTAAGATTTAAGACAGCAGGTCGTGTCTGGTTAAAGTGACAACGGTTTGGCTGCCATTTACATTTCTGTCTCATCACCAGTGGCGAGAGAAGCTCAGGCTGCAAAGCTGTGCTGGCTTGGAGGGGTAGAGCACTTGGACATTACACATTCCCCTCTTGACAACCCAGCAACACATTGCAGTGAAATACTCCTCTTTACCAGCTGACTAACTCACAAAAAGGACTTGGACAAGTGCAGCAGATTTCTCTAGTTTACCTCCAAGTGTGAAAGATCCCTTATTGTACAAGTGGTGCATTCTTTACACATTAGGATTGGGGTGGCTAAGGGGAGAGGATTTTCTGACAGTCGACAGTGGGATAGCCCAGATTTAAGCAGATTTGCTGAGCGCCCTAATCTGTTCATAGTATCATCGAATCCCTACACTGTGGAAGCAGGCCATTCTCGAATCCACACCAACCCTCTGGAGAGCATTCCATCTAGATCCACCTCTCTACCCAATCCCTGCAGCCCTGCATTTCCCCAGACTAACCCACCTAATCTGCACATTCCTGGACACTATGGGCAATTTAGCATGGCCAATCCACTCTAACCTGAGCATCTTTGGACTGTGGGAGGAAACCCACACAGACACGGGGAGAACATGCAAACTCCACCCAGACAGTTGCCTGAAGCTGGAAACAAACCCAGGTCCCTAACGCTGTGAGGCAGCAGTGCTAACCACTGAGCCACCATGCTGCTACTGGTTGTAGAACATCCTATATATTGTTATGCTCGTGCCCTTTGGTAGCTCGGAGGGCTTTACTTCTCAAAGTGCTCGTTGCATGAATAGATGCGGGCGGCAGAATCTTGAATACTCAGAGAGCTCAGTGCTGGACCTGGTACCAGTTGCACTATAATGCAGTGAGAAGGGGAGCTGGTGTTATCAGAACTCTGTATAACTGCTGTTCAGCCTCGACCAGCAGCCAACCACAAGGCCAAAGCAGAGAAGCGCATACCTTCAGCTTGGACTGAATCTCACGAGCTTTCCTTCGGGCAAGAACCTGCATATGACTAGACACCTGCAGGAAAGAGCAAAGGGGAAGAAAAAGAAGAGCCTGTAACCATGGAGATGAACGTCCCCCGGATTCATGCTGGCTGCACATACCTTGATGCTTGCTTGGTATTCTCGCACTTTCTTCCTGGCTAACACCTGTATGTGACTAGACACCTAGGTCGATGAGATAATTTGAAGACAAAAAACACAAATGAAAGACAATGCTTCTGTCACAACTGTACACAGTGCTTACATTATTAATGAGTTAGTTCGTTAGTTCGGGCATGCAGAGAGCCAGGCTTTCCGTCACCATCGTCAACCATTTACCCCCACCCTTACCCGCTCCCTCCCGAGCTAGAGCTGCAAACAGCCATGCAACCGGCAGCAATATTGCTTTATGGCAGGCCGTACTCTTCATCCTCTGCCTTCACTCGCCAGTCTGCTGCCAGCATCTGTTGCCAACAGCAAGGAGTGATAAGCGTTCCAAGTAATCGGTGACCTCCAAGAGAAACAAATGAATCCTCTTCTTGTCAGCTCAAGCTGCAAAAGCAAAACACTCACTCTAGCCCTCCGCAGTGTCTGCAATTTTATTCCAGGCATAAGTAATTAGGTTATCAAAGCACGATGGCTTCAGTTCAGTGGACAGTGGGAGCTGCCCTGACCTGATGAGTCTAGTGTTTATCTCAGTAACTCTACAAACTGGAGGCCATTCCAGCTCATCCATCATCACTCTACCAAGCCCTTTCTGAACCACTGCTCCACATGCACTGCCAGTACTCTCATACCTCGAGCAACATTTTGCAAAGTGCTGTTTTATCAATGCACAGTAGGAAAGGAGACCATTCCTCCCGCTCCCCCACCCCCCCAAAGTTGCCTGTGCTAGATTTTTTGGAAGTAATCCCCAATGAGTCTCTTTAACCTTTTCTCCACAGCCCTGGGGTGTGGGTGCTGCAAATGTTTACTTTCCCCCCTCCTCTGTAAAACATTGCTCCTTTTGCAGCAGGTTCGTGAGTGATGTGAATTTGTTAGGAAATTGGTTAAGTTGGGAGTAGATCCATAAACAGTTATTCGCTCAGGAATTTAACCTCTCCAATGATGGCTTAGGACAGGAACCCACCCACCCATCCATCTGTAGGTCAGAATGCAGTTACGCCAGCCAATAAACACGGTTTTCAGTTTTCAACATTGGAGCTTGGCTGTTTTTCACAGTAGTTCTGGCTAGACACTTTTTTTTCCTAAAAAAAAGGGTTGCTGCTATCGTTGCAGGTTTGCCATAATGATTATAGAATGGACTCCTCGATTCACTGCTGAGGAGATCTTAGATCTGTGACTCTAACCGTCTACAATAAAAGTAAAATACTGCAGTTGCTGGAAATTGGAAATAAAAAGTGTTGGAGAAACTCAGCAGGTTCAGAACACAGTTCCGAAGGACAGTCATACTGGATTTGGAACGTTAACCCAGCTTCTCTCTCCACAGATACTGCCAGACCTGCTGAGTTTCTCCTGTTTTGTGTCTTTATTTCATTAACTGACTATCCATTTACACGCATCGTCATCAGGGGTGTTCAATCAAATGGGACATCAACAATTGTAACTTTGATTCCTGTTAACCTCCCCATGGGGAAGACTGTAGCGCAGCATGGGCGATGCTGACATGGTTAGGCAGTCAGAACAACTACTGTCTAATCCAAAGGATTATTGGAATGGTATTATCCACCCTGCTTTAAGGCACAGTTTGAGTAGTTTACCAAACTCCATCGTCTAGGAATGAAAGACCAAATCCCCACGTTCCTGCTGCAAGTAATCCAGGGAAACAAAAAATTCTCAGTGCCATTAAAAATATTTACTTATTATATATTTTTAAAAATGGGACCTAAGAAGGGCAGCCAAAACTCATCCAATCAGATAACAAAGCCTACTTGCTTTCCAGTGGGTGTGGGAGGGTGAAGATGGATGTACCAGGTGACCAATGGCAGGAGTGGTGTGATCAAAGGTCACAGGTTACAGCATATCACTGTCAAGCATGCGTCCAATCAGAGTTGACGACTTTAAAATCTGCAAACGCCGTCATAACTTTCCCAGCAGGCAAACAGCTAGCTTTGTGTGTAAAACCCATTGCTTTCTCTTGCAAAGTCTCAAATCCGGCTGATAGAACCAATTCACCAGGTATTCTACCATTTGACATAAACAAAAAGAGGCAAGGGGGAAGTGACTAACTGTTCTCTAACTTCACACTGCAGCAGGTCCAGCTTTGCTGCTCAATTCTATCCAATCTCACAGCACATGCAATTTCTATCCTCTAGTAACAGATGGTTCAGTAAGATCCACAGGTTGGAGATAAGGTAGGAATCTTTCAATTACATATTTTAATAGGAATACCACTTTCAGTCAAGTATTCAGTAAATCTTTTGTCTTGGGATATCTTGAGCACTATCATTCAGAATCAAGATATTTTGATACAGAAAGGAACCAGCGGGCTGAGCAGAGTTTGGATCAACCTTCTCAGTGATGGAGAATACAAGTACCATGGCATCGATGTTTATATAATTCTGTACATTAGCAAATGAGGAAGTGCTGACTGGTTTAAGGTGATGGCTGTGGTGCCAATCAAGCGGGCTGCTTTGTTCTGAATGGCATCAAGCTTCTTGAGTGTTGCTGGAGCCGCACCCATCCGGGTAAGTGGAAATATTCCATCAGACTCCTGACTTGTGTGTTGTAGATGATGGATAGACTTTGAGGAGTCAGGAGATGAGTTCCTCGACACAGTACTCCTAACCTCTGACCTGCTTTTGTAACCACTGTGTTTATGTGATGACTCCAGTTGCATTTCTGCTCAATAGTAACCCCCAGGATGTTGACAGAAGGGGATTCAGAGATGGTAACACCATTGAATGTCAAATGAAGCAGGTTAAATTCTCTCTGGTTACAGATAGTCATTCTGTGACACAAATGTTACTTGCCACTTATCAAATCCATGTCTGAATGTTGTCCAGGCCTTGCTGCATTTGAACATGGACTGCTTCTGTATCTGAGGAATTAGAAATGGTGCTGAACATTGCGCAATCATTGGCGAACATCCCCACTTCTGACCTTATGATGGAGGGAAGGTCATTGACAAAGCAGTTGAAGACGGTTGGGGCTAGGACACTACCCTGAGGAACTCCTGCAGAGGTGTCCTGGAGCTGAGATGACTGACCTCCAACAAACTCAACCATCTTCCTACGTGTCAGGTATGATTCCAACCAGCTTTCCATTGATTCCCATGGACACCAGTTTTGCAGTAATTCCTTGGTGCCACAGAGAAAAATGCTGCCTTGATGTGGAGGGCAGTTACGGCCACCCCACTTCTTTTGTCCATGTTTGAACTGTGGCTGTAATAAGGTCAGCAGCTGAGTAGCCCCTGATAGGAATCGAACTGGGCGTCAGTGAGCAGGTTATTGCTGAGCAAGTGCTGCTTGATAGCACTGTCAACAATTCCTTCTGACACTTTGCTGCTGAGTGAGAAGAGACTGACGGGGTGGCAATTGGTTAGGGTGGATTTCTCCTGCTTTGTGTGTACGGGCAAACTGGGTAATTTTCCACATTATCAAGTAGATGCCAATGTTGTGATGCCAATGATAGTGTAGATCATGGCAGAGATGGATCATCCGCTTGGCATGTTTGGCTGAAGATTGCTGCAAATAATACAGCTTTATCTTTTGCACTGATAATCTGGGCTTCCCCGTCATCGAGGATGGGGAGCCTCCTCCTCCAGGGAGTTGTTTAATTGTCCACCACCATCCATACCTGCAAATGGCAGGACTGCAGAGCTTAACTCTGATTTGTTGGTTGTGGGATCACTTAACGCTGTCTATCACTTGCTGCTTTTGCTGTTTGGCGTGTTGGTTCTATTTTGTAGCTTCACCAGGTTGACACCTCATTTTTATAGACGTCTGGTGCTGCACCCTCCTGCATTCTTCTTTGAGCCAGGATTGATCTACTCGCTTCATGGTGATGGTAGAGCAGGAAATATGATGGGTTTGGTAGTTAAATACAATCCTGCCGATGGTCCACAGCCCTTTCGTGGATGCCCAGGTGAGCTGCTGATCTGTTCAGAATCTATCCTATTTACCACAATGTTAATCCCACACAACACGACCAAGGGTATCCTCAATATGAAAACAGGAATTTCATCGACGCATGCAGCTGTCACTTCTATCAATACTGTCATAGAATGATGGACCAGTGACAGATCGGTGAGGATGTGATTTTCTTCCTTATTGGTTCAAACCCAATCTAGCAGCTACGTCCCTGAGGATTAGTCAGTAATGAAGCTGCCCAGCTACTCTTGCTAGTTGATACTGTACTTTGAATGGAGCAGTTCTTTCTCAATCTTCATTATCGTCAGTGCTTTTTACAACTTACGTTTGACATGGAGGAGGACTGATTCATCAGCTGAGAGGCAGGGCTGGAGGTGGTGATCAGCAGGAGGTATTCTTGTCCATTTTTGACCTGTTGCTGTGAGACTCAACGGGGTGTACACTGCATGTTGTCGAGGACTCCCATGCCCAGTCTCTCTCAGTTCTATACTATCTGTGGTTGCCTGGTCCTAATTGTCAGCCACTTTGTACTGAGGAACAGCAACGATGGAGTATGAGACACTGGCTGTAAGAGAGAGTCACGTTCGTAGAATCGTGTCAAGCTATTGTTTGACTAGCCTGTGCAACCGCTCTCCCAAGTCTGGTACAAGTCCCTACACTTTGTTCTCCTAAGCTCAAGCTGAGCTCTCTCGCTTTCACATGAGTTGTGATGCTGTGAAGTTAGCCTCGCCTACTCAAGGTGGCTTGGTTTTGACAGTTCAAAAGATGTCAGAGTCTGACCTCAGTGACAAGGCCAATCTATACAGGACTGAAACTCACTACAGTTGCACTGGGAACCTTTCAGCTGAGGCAATGTGTTTACATCTGAACCATCGGCTAATAGCTGTTGCTTTTCAAAGATCAGGCTTCGCGCTACAATGAAAGCGCCAAATGACAGCAGGAGATTGTTATCTAATGCATTGATCCTCCTGCTTTCTCTCTTCCTTGCCAGGTGTGGTCTTTGTAGCGACTCAGCCCAATCCCAGGACAAAAGCTTCACTCATTGTCTCCCAAATGAATTGAAAATGGCATAAGTGAGACGAGATGCTTGACCCCGTTGCCTCTCTGTTCATGTATTCGAATTAAAAAGTTACAGCTGTAGGGAGCAGGTCATCCATCACAGCCTGCCCCTTCAGCAGAGGAGGAGAATTAATGGGGCGAGTTTGAAAAGAAAACTGGACTACACAACTGAACTCTGAATGACAAGGTTTTAGAATAATATCTACATGAGAGCTATTTGTGGGATAACAGCGTAAGAGCAGCTTTGTTGTGATTTAGCAGCTTTTACTGTTAAAATACCTCCAGTGGAATAAAGCTGAGTAACAGGAGATGGTCGCTCAGTCTTTGAACCTGCTCTAGTCAATCAATCAAGCTGGTCATTAACTCCATCTGTCCACCTTGGTTCTGTAATTCATCTTACCTTTTCCATAACAAAAGGTCGGGCAACCTCAAATGTGTAATATTAAAGTGAGCTCCAGTCCAATAGCTTTTTCAGGCAGTGTTGTAGATTTTTTTGTGGTTCATGTGTGTCTGTGTGTGTGAAAGGATGCACTTCCTGATATTACTCCTGAATGGTTTCACTCTAATTTTACTACCATCATCTTTTACATCTCCTTGCTTTAGATTCTCCCTGCCTGAACAAATTGTTTCTTCCTCTTTAACTAAGTTGATCGATCAACAAGGATTTAAGTGATTAGACAGGACATACTGTTGGAAACGATTAGCAGTTGCGGTGTGACTAAAGTCCTTTGGCCTTACCAACTGCAAGGAAGGAGCTTACCCTTAGCAGTGCAGCGATAGTGTCCCTAACCCTGGCCGGTGAGGCTTGGGTTCAAGACCCATTTGCTCCAGAGGTGTGTAATAACATCTGTGAGCAAGTTGATTAGGAAAAATAGCTTAAATATTCAAATAAAAAAAACTCATCCTGAATGTAAAATTAACCTTGCACTGCTGATCCCAGTCTTCCTATTTTGTAATCTCTCAATCATTTGTTGTTTTGTCACTCGTTTTTTTGTCCTGGTGAAAAAATTAACCGTTGCAATTACTTTAGCCCGATAGCTGATAATCTTCTCTGTCTATCAACAGCTTGGGTCCTGGCTGAAAGAAACTTCAGGGCAATCTCATTCCAGCTCTTCACTGACATCGGATCCAACACACAACCACCACCTTGCACTCTGGCACCAATTGGCAATGCCAGTCCGATGGGATTAAAGACTGTCAATGTGGAAAATGCGACTAGCTCACCAGTAGAAGTCAGGGGTCTCGGAATGGGGTTAGAGGGAGCTCTCAACCATCTGGTCTGGGCTGTATCTCACCTCACCTAGGCCACATCTTTACCCAGGACATCCTAATGCTGACACTGGCTGCCTGAATTGAAAAGTATTTCTCATCTCCTGAGGCAACAAACCCCCATTTCCGATTATCAAAATAAATCCTATCCTCTCTGCAGGTTTCTGACTAAGTGACCTATGGGAAATAGTATTTCCGCAGTAAGGTCAAATGCAGTTCGTACCTAAAAATCTTTCCTGACTGAACAGATCCCGGAACAAAAAGTTATACCAAGAGCTGAAGATTTTGCCAATCTCTCCTATACCACCTGATCAACCTTGGAATGATTGAACTATTCGAGGATGACATGTCAGCGTTGGGTCCTCAGATCTCCATGAGGTGCCCCCTTGCCTCTCATTACCAATCATGCTGCCCCATTACCCATTCACCATGCCAGCCTTAAAAGCAGCAGCAGCCAGATTTCAGCACAAGCCACCTCTTTTTGCCCCAAAGCGTAGCTTCCTGGCCAGCTTTACCTGCTTCCTTGTTCGTGTTTTGCCAGTCCGTAGTTTGATGTATCTTGCTATCAACTCATTGCGGCCTGTGGGAATGGAAAAATTTAATTAAATCAAATCTTTAAACTTCCATTTTCATTAAACATTAATATAACAAGCAGCAGAAACAAGACTCAACATATTAAACCCATATCCCACCAATAAAGATGACTCAAATGCTGGGAGAATACCATTAAGCTCTATGGAAGAGCACCCTCAAACAGGAGTGATGCTTGCTAATGGCAAGAACCAATCATGGATGAGCCTTGCTTGTCGACAGTGGCGCGGTGTTTCAGTGGTTAGCACTGCTACCTCACAGCCCTAGGGATCTGGGTTCAATTCCAGCCTCAGGCGACAGTCTGTGTGGAGTTTGTGCATTCTCCCCGTGTCTGTGTGGGTTTCCTCCGGGTGCTCCAGTTTCCTCCCATAGTCCAAAAATGTGCAGGTTAGGTGGATTGGCCATGCTAAATTGCCCATAGTGTCCAGAGCTGCGTAGTGAGTTAGCCATGGGAAATGCAGGGTTACAGAGGTAGGGTAAAGGAGGTGGGGATGCTCTTCTGAGGGTCAGCATTGTCTCAATGGGCCGAATGGCCTGCTTCCACACAGTAGGGATTCTATGTAGAGCCTTCTAACATGCAGAGGTTGATGTACCTTATGGTTCTGGTTGGCCAGGAAATTCTCCCATCACCTGTCCTAGGTACATCAAAAGGACTTATAGATTGATCAACCACATCGTATTATGACACACCTTCCATTGGTGCGCCATCAAGCCCTGAGTGAGTATTTCAGCCTCTCACCCAGAAGTAGGGCTGCTACAACTGCATCTTGAGACCCTCCCCCACTATGGGCTCCAGGAGGAGCTAGGTAGAGGGGTGATAAATCAGTCAGTCTTTCCAGCCCTGCTCACTACCCAATGAATCATTTTGGGCAGTGTACAGGCTGGATGAGGACAACAATGTGCTTGACAGTGATGATGTTTTCCATTGGCCAAAAAGTCACTACCCAAACAACCTGAATCAGAGAAGTTTCATTGGCAAAGCTCTCCAGAGTTGACATATTATCCCATCTCCATCTTTCCCCCCGACCCCCAATCGCTGTGGGAGTTGGGTGCCTGAACAGATGGGATTAGCACAAATCTCAGCAAAGATTTCCAATTCATCCCAAGCTGGTTAACTCCAATGGAGCTGAGGTTCCATATCTCCATCCGTCTATGTTCTCGCAAAATAAAAACTAAAAATCTGCCTCCTCCAGACATCCTGAATGGACAAGAACATTGGTTCATCAGGGAAGTCTGAAACTCTTATCAAGAGTAGCACCAGAACTTGGTTCCCAACTTCCAGGCCCAAAACTACAGGAGAAATTAAAATGTACACAAGTACAGCCAGCCAATGTTCTATGATTACAAACAGGGGGAAGATGTAGAGAAACGAATGGGGTGGAAGACAGAAAAAAAAACTTTTCAAATTGCGATAGTAATAGGCAGAAACCTTTTAATTAAAACAGTCTCACTCTCCCTGTGCATAATTGGGTCTGGTTTAGAGATATATTTTAGTGAGGACTTGTGTAAGAACTTACTGATCATACATTCTATGAATTTTGGATACAAGAGGCAGAGTGATACACAGAAATGATTTAGGTTTAACAATTCAAAGTTTGCAATCTGGTGAGGAACTGATGCTTCTGTGCCAAGGGGTTTCAGTGAGGAACAGGGCAGTGTGACTATCTAAATCCATTCCAGGCTGGCTTTGGGAGACTCTGTGTTACAGCAAGTCTGTGCGAATTGGGCTTTCATATGGTCTGAATTTAAAGTAGATCCCAGAAGCTCCTCCTACCCAAATAGTTTGGAGCTGAATCAGTTGGACTCCCAGGGATTCTGCGGTAGCCATAGTTTTCTCAGTTCCAGAAGACTCATCTTCAAATGTTGTCACTCTCAGCAACTTTATCCACCTGGTAATGTGGTGTTTGCTGCACAATGTTCTTGCTTCTGGGACATGTGTATGCATTCGGGTACATGGCGAGCATATGACAGTGAGTATTCATCACACAGCAGAACCGGCAAGTGATGGAAGAGTCAGGCAGTTTGAATCTGCTGGCTTTGTGACAGTGACCAAGAGTCTAAACACTGTGCCCTGTACAATCGACAGGGCTGAGCTCACCTATTGCAAACCGCCTTGCTTTCTATTTAAAACACTCTCTAAAGGAGTCAGCTGTGGCTCAGTTGAGGACACTTTTACCTCGGATTCATAAGGTTGTAGGTTCAAATCCCACTCCAGGAATTGAGCATATGAAGTGAACCAACATCCCTGGTTCAACGCTGAGCACTGTCAAAAGGTGCTGTCTATCAAATATGGCATTAAGCCAAAGTCTCCCTCATGAATCCCACGGCAGTAGTTTGGAGGAGAGTAGGGATGTTCTCCTCAGTCTCCTGGCCAACATTTATCCCTCAATCAATATCCGCTAAATCAGCCGCTGTGTGTTTTTAAAAATACTTTCAAGGGGGACAACGATTGCAATACACTGCACTGACATGCAAATACTTTGCAGGGTGTCCGCAATTGCGAAAGGCGCAATGAAAATGCAAGTCTTTCTCTGGTATCACAGAAAGACTACAGAACTTGAAAACCCTACAGTAATGGATCCAAAAAGCCGTGCCAATCTTCCTGATTTACTGCATTCCTCGAATCCCTCCAAATTTAGCTCAAGCAGCATCATGCAATAAATCTGCCATAAATAGCTTCAGCAACAACACTACAAAAGCAGCAAGATATTTGAACCCTTTCTGTCATTAGCTGAACCAACCTGTTAACTTTGATTTCTCTTATTACCGGAAAAATCCCTCTCCAACGCCTCTGAGCCTCACTTGAGGCTGTTCTTATGTAAAATACATAAGGCCTGGGTTTACAGTACTGCGAGATTATGCTCACCTCTCTGTCTAGACTCATTATTTCTCTGAAAGTATAATCACACTCCAGTCTCAGAACAAAAGCTGTAGTTCACAAAAGAACATTCCCCACCCTCCTATTGTCAATTGAAAAGAGAACTGCAAATAGAAACCCCTTCTCTGTTGGGATACAGCCAGAGCCAGGGTCAACTTGCCTGTTTCCGCTGGCCATCAGATTGGATCTTCACCTCGTGTCCCTTTGTGGGACTGCATTTTTAATCCCCTACAATTACAAGTCCTACGTCTCCTTCAAAAGAAAGAGCATCTGTCTCAGCACTCGATTGGGATTCCATCAGACAGTTCTGGGACCTCACTCTCCTCTGCAAATTAGTGCATTGCTCTGGGAACACATTGGACATAAACCCCAGTACCTCTTATACCCTGCTGTCGCATCAGACCCCTTCTCCTGCACCCTCTTCTTCGAGGTGACAATGAGGAGCAGCTCTTTCCCATGAATACTGAACCCACATGTTCAGTCGCCTAATTTTCCCTCTTTTTCCCCACCTTTCCATCTTTTTTGTTTATTAATTCATGGAATGTGGGCATCAATGGCTGGGCCTGCATTTATCGGCCATCCCTAATTTCCCAGAGGCCATTAAGAGTCAACCCCATTCTGTGGGTCCTGAGTCACATGTAGGCCAGGTAAGCATGGCAGTTTCCTTCCGTGAATGTTTTCCTTTCCCCCTACAATTACCAACAGTTTCATAGATCAATGTTATTTCATAACTCTATTCCAGATTTGTTACTGAATTCAAATTCCACCACCTGCTGTGGCAGGATCTGAACCTGGGCCCCCAGAACTTTATCTTTGGATCAACAGCCTAGTGATAATACCACCAGGCCATCGTTTCTCCCTCTATAACCACTTTACCTGATCTTCCTCCTAATACTGAAGACCATTGCTTTTCTCTAGTTACCTGCTGTGGAGTCTCCAAACTCAATCCTCCCATGAGGAAGTCTTGCAGCTGCCCTCCTCCCCAATCCCACTGAGCCACCAACCAGCCAACTTCCCTCACTATTCTCCCCTTGTTGAAATAATGCTGTAAATGTCCTCAAATACTCCCAATCCCTTTGCAAACTCTCATCATCATTCCCACTCGGGCAATGGATCCTTCGACTTCACTGACTTTGTAAAAGACTGCCACATTTCTAGTCACCCTTGCCCATCCAAAGACTGGAATATATTCTCAACTCCTATCTTTCCTGCTTTCCCATGCTTGAATTTCCCCAATTCCTCACGACCCTGCACCTGTCTCTCCTGTCATGGTGCTGAAATGGCCAGAACAACATCACAAATGATACATTCAGTGACTATGATCATGGTCTCCTTCACCACAGTGCGTGTGTCTTTTTACACATGGTTACCCCTCTCCAACACCGTTCCTTCATCGCCTGGCTGAGTGAGACAGCCCTGCTTCCACACTTACCTACTCTGTTCTAGCTATGCCTCTCTTCCCAACCCCTACACCATTCACTCAAAAGCCTCCAAAAGAATTCCACTCACTCTTCCTATTCCTCACTCATGAGCAGCTCCTCTTTTATGAGATCATTGGCTGAATGGAGGTCACAAAAAACAGCCAGTTGCAGGACACCTTCATCTCTTGAACTCTCCAATCTTTATCTTGTCAGAGTATGTGTCTAATTTCCAATCAAACCTCCTCCGGTTAAATGTTGGAAAGATTGAACACTCTGCCTTTTAATTCGATTTCCTCACCACCGACCCCAACCTTAGGCTGATCCAAATTGCTTGCATTTCATTTGAACCCCAGTTGAACCTTCAGTATGCGTACCCTCCCTTTCCGCAACATATCTTTCTTAAACTCCAAAACACCCGTCTCTGCCTTGTTCAGCTCATCAGTGGCTGAAACTCTCTTTCACCCATTCCAATGCAATGCTGGCCAACCTCCTACCCTTTGGGTCAGCCAGAAATTATGCCTTCCAGTTCTGAAATCTTCAAAACATTTCGCTCTTCAACACCATCCTTCTTGCAAATATGCATTATGTCCTGATCCTCCAAACCATCCATTTCTTACAATGTGAAATCTCTCCATAACCTCACCTCTCTCAATCTCTGCATCCTCCTACAAACTAGAGCTCCCCGACCTT